TTATTTATTTGCTTATTATCCTCCTTCCCATTTATTAAGCCAACTTGTCTTCACTGGAAACTTTTCTTGCACAATTACTTGAAAATCAAGCATGAGAAAATGGGAGGATTTTTCTAAAGACTGTTTTTGTAACAAGTAAAACTGGTGGGAGGCAATGTTTAGCTCTACTTAAGATTGCAAAATTTTGGTGGTGGCTGTTGCTTTATTTTCACAACAATAATGTAAATAATGGAAATCAATAAAGGACTGCAACATGACTTTGAATCACCACATTTTTAAAGAAAGAGTTGCAATATGTATAGCAGCACAATCTATTATTAACAAACACAATTAACTGATAAAATGTCTTTTACTGAAAACTTAATTTAACTCCACAAGTAGTGACCAGAAGTAGTTTCTAGTCATTAAAACTGGACATAAATATGGTTTCAACAAACCCTGCTAATGCTGTGTTTGCAGTATCCTTGAAGAGTAGTTTATTTATTTTTTTTCCCTAAGCCAGTACAAAAATATCCTGAACAGGGAGCTGGAATTGAATTTCACTGTGCCTCCAGAGGTGCAATCAGATTATATCCTCCTTCCCATCTGTCACAGCTCTGCATTTCCCATGCACCCTTGAAGCTATGCTCTAGTAAAGGAATTGCTTCAATCACCATGGAAGAAAGGAGAGAGGAAGGTTTTAGTACCTGGCAACATGTTTATTTTCTGTACTGGTATTTCCTTTCTCTGCCTCTATCTAGTGAATGTATTAGTGTCGTGGACTGGTATCAGGGGGCTTGAAAGGCATTTTGTTTAGTCTTATGTGGGGGGAGAGAAGATGGACCATTCCCCACTATTAGTCCTCACAGAATCATAAAGTAACTTAGATCAGAAAGATGTCCTAGATGCCATCTGCTCCAATGATCTGCTCAAAGCAAGCCCAATTACATTCAGCTGCTCAGGGCCTCGTTTGGTTGGGTCTTGAACATGTCCGGGGACGGAGCTTCCACAGCCTCTCTGGGCAGCTAGCTCCATGTTTCACCACCCTCAAAGCAGAAGTATCTTTTCTACCTTTTAATCTGCATCTCCCCTGCTGTAACTTGCATCTGTTACCTCTTATCTTTTCAGCCTGCATTTCAAAGAAGAATCTGGCCTCACCCACTGTACATCAACCTATTAGGTAGCTGAAGTCATGGGTTACTTATTCTTCAGGGACAAAAGGAGTGCCAAACTGTTTTTTGTGGGCCAGTACTGACAATGAAAGAGCAGCTCTGCAAGGTCTGAAATCAGACAGTACTGAAACTTCTTCCAGATGTCCTATCTGAAGCTACAAATATAGCTGAAGAACTGAAATTTAAGTGATGTACAATGTAGAAATGCAGCTCAAGATGATGAGCTCTCAGCTAACTCTCTGCAGCAGTTTCTACACTTTCAGCATTTCAGGCAATAAGCAATTCCTGAGAACCACAATCCTGGGGATTTGGGTACTTCAGTTTCTATATTCCAGGCATGGAAAAGAGACCCACTAAGATCCTACTGTGGTTACTGAAGGCGAAAATAAAACAGAGCAATACTGCAGTACATGCACCCAGTTACAACTCAGTGTTCTACTGAAATACTCCTTTAGTTTTTGAGCAAACCCATAGCAAATGTTAAGTGCCAATATATCACATACTTCATGTAGGGTTATGATGATTTACATTGACCAAGGAATTACCCCGTGGAGTGAGATGACATTTGTGTTACTCCTGGGACTATTAGTTATGTTTCCCATTTTGTGGAAATAGCACAAACTTACACAATTTGGCTCACAAAAAATAAAGCAATGATGGCATATACAACAACCGCTTCTCTGTGCAAGTAAATGCTGGGAATTATAGGTTATACTACACTTCTGAGCAATTAGTAGGGAAGCTAAGAACTCCAAATACTGAGCAATTAAACTGTTATTCTCTTGCTAAGATTTTAGGAGAAAGAGTAGGACGTGTGTATTTTTTTCATTAATGTTTTGGGTTTTTTAAATTATTTTCTCTGTTTTATTGCAGTAACTAGCAAGTACTAAACTCCAGTGTTACTCTTCTGCATCTGAAATTTAAGCACCACTAGGAAGATAACTAAATTCTATGACCAATTGCAATATGAGTCTAAGGGACTCTGGCATATGGCACAATTTCCATCTTCTTCCAATCCTATCTGTGTAGAAGAATGTGTAATTTTAAGTAGTGGCTGCTATGGTTTAAACAATTATATGATCTCTTACACCTCCTTTTTAGTTGTTTTTCCTGCTGTATCTCTCTTATCAGGTTTTCCTGCAACTAAATTACATATGCTTCAGCCTTGCTTCTATCAATTGGACCCTGCAGTCAGCTTCGGAGGGGACACATAAGGCTCTGTAAATAACACATTCAAAATGGCATTTGAACATAAATAATCACTTGCTGAGGAGGATGGAAGAATTTAAATTATGCCCATTTAGATTATCTCAAATGCAATTCTGAGCGTTGCTGTTAATCTTTGAAGAGAAATAAGAATCCCATATGAATTTCCATGCTATGGTGTTTAAGAAGCAGAAAAATGCAATGTGATATCAGATAGGAGAAAGCATCAAGAGTGCAAACTGAACAGTGTAATATACAATTTCAGAACTTCCTAGTGAAACAGTATTTTCAATCTAGTGTCCATTAATAAAAATATTCACTCCTTGAACACCCAAGTGCTGGTAACTTTTAAAGCACTTCATTATCTTTTTAAACAATATACATGCTGGTCTCAAATAAACTCTTTGGAATACTTTCTTTTACTCGCAAATCTACATTAATATCCTCTTGGGTAATAATCAGACATTGCAAAATACTTGGTATCTGCAGGTATTAGCAACACACCAGAAAAGCACTATTTACTTATCCTTAACAGCCTACACTCATCACTGGAGCACACTGCAGTATATTGTGGTATTTTGCATGATTCTGGATAAAATGCCATGCATTGCTACCAAAATATATTACAACTTTTTGCAAGGACTGCAGTACAAATGTACAGAGCCTAGGTATTCTTTCTAGCTGTAAAAATCTTAGTCTGAATGGTAACCATTTCTTATTAACTCATTGATCTACACAGCTGTTCTAGCAGCTAACAAGTGCACCTTAAAATTCTGTGTATAAATTGTGGTAACTGCTCAGAAAACAGTTATGTTTAAGAGCCAGAAAGCATAAATACAGTACCCCAGCTTCATGCATACTTCTAGTTGCCATATGTTCACATAAATAAATATGCTGACTTTGGAAATATGGATATTTTATCCTTGGTTATATTTATATTCTGCTATGAAATCACTGTGTACTATTACAAAGCTCTTGAGAATTGTAAGAAATGTAGTTACTGTGCCAGATTTTTGGGTCAGATTCTGCTCTCAGTTACAGAGATATACATTGAACTAACCTCATCAAAGTCAGTCTATTACTCTGGGTTGTGGTGTTCTGAGACCAGACCCTGGCTCTGAGAATTTTATTTTCATGCGAGATTTAACTTCAAATACAGTCCCCTCTGCTGTTTGTTTGAAGGAAACAGATTATTATTAATACCAAATTTTACTGGAAGATGCGTGCTTCTATTGCCCTTTAAAATTCAAAATACAATTTGCTTCATGATGAAGCTTAAAAGAACGATAAGATATCTCCGTCATGCAATGAAATAGTATCAATATGTGGTAAAATTGCCATTAAATAGCACATACATCTGAAGGCAAAGCCTAGTTTCTTTTTCTCTCTCCTTGTATATGCTCCCTAACACATATGTAGGCCATTCTATGTACCATGCTGCAAATCATCTGTACCACTGAGGTTATTTCACATAGTTAAAAGAAACATGCATATTAAGCACATTCAGTGATATGTTTAATTGAAACTCAAGAGACTACACACTGCATATTAGAATACATATAACCTATATTATGCCTTTTCCCCCTACCATACAACTTTCTGAACTGCTTTTGTTCAGAATTAGCTTAAACAGTTTATCACTCATCCAGATTGGTTTTGAAGCTATGTTTAGTTGTGTGTAATGATATATACACTCCCTCAGAGCCTACTTCAGCACCTCTTTAATCTTTAGCCAAGATTTACTCACTAACAAAAACTGCCAGGATATTTTGCTTAATAATGTATCTGTCATTTTATCAGATATTAAATTTACTCACAACTGTGGCTAAAGCCCTCAGACAGCTGACATCTGAAATTATTACTCAAAGCAGCCTGCCAGTCTTTCTACACTTACTCTGCCTTTTGAGCTGTACAACAATGGAATCTCTCAGCTTCTCTTCAATTACTCTATCATACAGCAAAATATATTCAGACAAAGTTTGATACATTTAAATGTTCATTTCTCTGCTCAAAAGCCTTGGCCATCAGAAGAGTTTGTATCACCTGTAAAAATTTACTGCCTCCATGGAGTTGATCATTAATAAAATTCAAGTATAAAGCCAAAACAGAAAAAGAACCTGCAAACAGTAACCTTTTCTCTCTACCCAAAATGTTTGGTACAGGTTTTCCTCTAATATCCTACTAGTACTGTTACATACTCTGAAAACATCAGCTGTTTATTTTAGGATTTTTTAAGAGAACAGTGTATTTAAGCAAATATTATTGAATATCAGCAAATAAATGTTGAGGTTCTTAAATTGCAAACAAGAATATTCGCACTAGAAACCTGAGTCAGCCATGACCTTTAAAAACAGCACAGGGAATGTATCATCTGATTTATAATACTAATCAAAACATCCTGAATTTTAAATGGCAAATATTTGCAGTGGATTGCTTCTGTACAAGGTAGAGGCCCTGAGTTCTTGGAATAAATTGTTCATAGAGTAACATAAATTAAAAAATAATATTAGGAAAACATGTGCATAGTACTTTGACAGAAACAGGGAGATAAGTAACATAACAGCATGATCCAGCATTTCTCTATCCATTTTAGCTCCCTTTCCTAAATGATAAGACAAAATCAAGTTCCCTCTGTGACCTTACCTATAAATGAAAGGAGCTACCGTGGCAGTATTGGGATGGCTGTATTGCTGTTGCTGGGGAAGCTGGACAACACCATTTCCTGTGCCTTGGCCACTGCCTGTAGCCATCGAGGCTGACAGAGCCGTGGAGGACCCCGGGGTGAGAGCTGCACTTGGTTCTTTCCCTTCAGAAGAAGCAAGACCAGAGGAAGGAGAAGCCTTCTCAATAAGTTGAGATTTGGGTGTTGATTGGGACTGGTTTCCTTTTGTAGTCCTCAGTTTTTCAACCTCCTTGCTTCCCGGGCATGTGGATGAAGTGCTCTGCTTTGCCGTTGGCACCTTGGATCCAGGTTTTGGGATCCCACTAGAAGATGGTATTAAACTTTCCTTCTTGGTTGCTGTCGTCTTGCTTCCTTTTGGGATTAAGCTTGCAATTTTTGAGCTCTTCTTTGTAGATGTTTCAGTGACCAGGTCCTTCTCTTCCTTGACTGTTTTCTCAGTGCAAACTTTGTTTTTGTCCCTGTTCTTTTCCTCTTTGTCCTTTGGCTGTAGCAAAGACTTTTTATTGCTGAGATTTTTGCTTCCAGCTTTTGGAGGGGTTAACTTCGGCGATATTTTAGGACTGCTACTTGTGGAGCCTCCACTGTTCACCCCACCACTTAAGACATCCATTTCACCACATTCTGAAAAGGTATCATCCTCTCTCCCACTGTCACTGGGTCCTGAGCTCAGTGACAAAGGAGGTCTCAGAGCAGTCCTAGCATTAACCAGCTTGAATTTTTCCAGCATAGATTTTTGTCCAGATGAAGGAGGCTTCACACCTTCAGAAGGGGGTGGCTTGAGCCTGTCTGAAGATGGAGTAGGGGAGGTTGCGGGACTAGGCTGCTTCACAGACAGCATGGTAGAGGTTGCACTGTGTTTGACATTCATGGATTTGCTGCGCCAAGGCTTGTTGGCACTTGGAGAGGGTATGGCAGAGACCTGCTGCTGCCCAGTGCTGGTGGGTTGCTGCACATTTCCATTCATGCTTGCAGATGGGTGAGGGCCTTTTGGTGAATCTGCTGAAAAATACAGAAAGAACCAGAATGGTACAGTTATTCTTCCATCTCCTGCTTGAAGGTAATTCTATATTCCTTTGGCATTAAAAAAAGAGTTACAAGTGATTTATAAGAAAGAGAATTTACATGTGAATGGAACATGAAGGATGCTAATAAAAAATGCTTTTTACCCCGCACCATCATGGTGGGTTGTGCAATACTTCTGTGAGCTCAAGAGCACCCTGGAAACATCTTTCTTGTAACCATTTCATTATGCAAATTAAACTTTCCAATGTGAAGATTTTATCTTTGATAAGTCAAAAAGAAATTCTTCCAATAAGTCATTAATAATAATAAAACACTGAGATGTGGAATAAAAAAGAATGATACAACATTGGAAGAAAAACAAACCCAGAAAAAGATGGGTTTGATGCTTAGTGAAAGCAAAATAGGTTTAGGGTAGCTGGAGGAGGACTGAATAATACTGAAGCTGAAAGGATGCCATCAATATTCACAGAAGCAAAAAATGGCTGGTCACCATAATTTGTAATGTTTTAAGTACAGTTAACAACTTCTGGCAGTTCATTTTAGGAACTTATCCCAGTGCACTTTCATAGGCAGAAAAAAATGAACAATTTTACCAGTGTCAGTACATACAGAGTTATATCATCTACAGAGATACAGCAGCAGTAGGTGTTTTGGGCCTCTAAGCTGAGGTGGATACAAAGGCTCATTTATGTGGCTCTGGTACTGTTACTACATTTACATTATCCAGAAACTTCAGCTAATCTTCACAATGAATGAGAATAAGACTCTTTCTGTAATAATCAAAATATGCTAATTGACAACCATGATTTTCAAAAAGTCATCTAGCTTTAATAAGCAAAAGAGACCAATGCACAAAAGGGTTAAGATCTCCTAGTGAAGGTCAGATTTCCAAGACATATCTGAGAACCTAAACACTAGTGCTCTGGAGCAAAAGAGAAATGAAGTGGTAATGGTAATCAAGTATGCGGTAAATAGCTATTTCAGCAGATATTTTCTCTCAGTGTATCTATCTTGTCTTGCCATTCAGTCGAAGGACTATCTGCGAATTAGGCATAAGACTGCCTACAAATATATCAAATTCAGGAGTGCAAGCAAGCCTGTGAATCATACACTACCAATACAGTTCATGGAATGGCAACAAAAAAATAAGAAGAAGGTCTGATGTGTTATGTTCACACATGAAGCCAAAGTCATGCCTTGGAGTCTCTCTGAATAATATGGTAGAAGAGGACACTGAAGACATTTCTTCTTTCAGCACAGAGTTTGAAGTTATACATAATTTTCATTTTTGCAGTCTCAGCCCTAAAGCCCTGGTATGGGTTACAGTACCCAGCTGGAAGTCTAATGGCCACTAATACACATAGGAAACAGTTTTGATCATCCTGAAAGGGGAGCTGATTTTTCCTTAACAAAGTGAACGCGAACATAGCAAATCTGCTTCTCTAAGTAGCACAGAATCATAGAATCACAGAATGATTTGGCTTAGAATGGATGTTAAAAATAATCTAGTTCCAACTTGCCTGCTATGGGCAGGAAGACCTCCCACTAGGCCAGACTGCTCCAAGCCCGATCTAACCTGGCCTAGAACACTTCCAGGGATGGGGTACCCACAATTTCCTTGGACAAACTGTTCCAGTGTCTCACCACCCTCACATTGAAGAGTTTCCTCCTAATGTCTAACCTAAATCTACCCTCTTCCAGTCTAAAACTGTTACCCCTTGTCGTACTGCTACATGCCCTTATGAGAAGCTCTCTCCTCGCCTCTGGTTTTCTTGTATCTCCCTTCAGGTACTGGAAGGCTGCGATAAAGTCTCCCCAGGGCCTTCTCTTCTCCAGGCTGAAAACTAGTTTAAAAATAATTTAAAAAATCCTGAACAAAAGTAAAACAACAGAAATGGAACACTTTTTAACACTATTGACAGCTGTACACCAGCAGGCCAATTACCTCCACCTTCAATAGATGCTGTATAATTCCATCTGCCCAGAGTTTTTCATCTGCTCCTCAGCCTGACATGCAAATCCCACAGCACAAAAATTAACTCAATCCACCTTCACATAAGGATTCTAAAAGCTCTGCTGTGTCCAGTTACTAGGCAAGAAAATGTGAACTGGTAAGGGTTGCCTCAGAGCATTTTCTGGGATAGGTGAGGTTAGGGCTTAAAACCCAGCAATCCCATAGCAACATGGAGCAGCTTTGTTGGGCAGCTACAGAGCTGATCCCATCCTTGTGACCAAGGCAGGAATTGCAGCTGGTTCCCTGCTACTTTTCTCATGAGCCTCAAAGTCAGAAAGAGAGCCTGAGGCCAACAACAGCTGTTGGAAATTACTGCAGCCCTCAGGCTTCCTTAATTTATACCAGAGATAAGACCTGTGGCTGATAGCCTAGGACTGGGCATGCACAAGGACATTCTTGCACACATTTTGCCTTGCACTAATCTTGCCTTAACTACACATGAGAATTGGGGTCTTTAGCTATCCTATTAATTTTGGAGAAGAACAATTCACAGGAAGAATATGCAAAGCTAATGCAGAATAGATATAACAATTTGTGAACAGCAGGATGCCACTACACTCTGTTGTATTAATTCTGCTACATTTGTATGACTTCAGGCTATTAGTTTTATTAAAAAAAAAAAAAAAAAGTGTTCTGATTAAAAAGAAGAATGTGTGCCGTGCCATATTTCCTGCTATACAATATAAACTCATTGAGGGGAAAAACTGTAACAAGATGAGCATTTACTCTTTCATCAACAGCTTGTTCTACTACATATACAGCAAAAAATCACAGGTCCTTGGAACTACTGGTACTTATTTGATTCCTATATAACAAACCATAAACAGCATCAAAAAGTTACAGAGTACCTTAACTTGCCTTTAATCTTCAGTTTAAACTGTATCCTTAATGTTACCCCAAAGAATGTGGACTGCACACTTTCAAGAAATATTAAGAGTCTGTCTCTATGTCTAAAGACATGGAATAAAAAGATTCATCCCCTCCACAGCCCAAATGCATTACTTGAAGCTGAACATTATGCACTTCTTTCTGCACGCTCAGTGAGGACTTAGATTTAGCTGTTACATGAAATCTGTCCCCACCTTGTGGTGATTTTCATGTGGAGTGAATCCAACCTGTGAAAAGGATTTCATCTTTTTATAAACTAAATTTTATGAGAATCTTCTGTTTATGGCCTAATTCCCTTATTGCTGAAATGCATAATCAGCTTGTGCTTGAAAACAATTTTGAATTCTTCTTGAGAGCTCTGTGCTGCTGAGCTCAGCCCAGCCTGCTCTGGGAAAGCAGAGCAGTAACACTCCCACGTGTTCAGTGCAAAAAGAGTTCTACTAGAATTCAGCAAGACCCTGATGACTGAATGGACATTTTCAAGTCCACTTTTCATAGACTGTCACAAATAAAGGACAGGTGAGGAGTTAAACTCGGGCCCAATATATAATCAACCTCCTCTCTCTCCTTGTCTATGACTTTTGCTGTGTTCTGTACTGTTGGGAAAGACAGGACCTTTGTGACAAGAGGTCTCCCCTTGCAGTGTAATTAGGTACTGATAATCTAGATATTCTGTAGCAGGCAGGTGCCCAGATTAGAGTATCCAATTTCAGTCACTCACAATTAAAAAGGTTAGTAGAAAAAGGAAGAGCTGCAAGGGATTGTTATGAGGATGTTTGGAGGAATAGGAGGTTATCTGGTGAGATTCAAATAATTCAACTTGTCCAGCTGTCCATGAGAAGGTAGCTACCCCTTATCAGCACAGGAGGAGAACAGCACAAGGGACAATTGCCAAAATGCCGGCACCAGAAGAAACATAGGCAATTTAGCTCTAATGTACCTACTGACCACAGTTTAATGACAATTTGCATCATTAGACAATGGAGTTCCAGGACAGAGTTTCTCAGAGTTGGTATGGGCAAAATAAACAAATATTGTTGAAACTTATTTACTTAAAAAACCATTTTGCATTAAATTATAATGAAAAGCAGGGGATTTAACTCCATGACACAGAGACCCTTATTAGTGTTCAGACTGTTTCTAAGCTCTTAAGTGTAAATATTTGTTTTTAAAATGTGACTTGAATTAGAAATTATTTTTTGCTGGACTCAAAATACCCTGGGTGTCCATGTTATAAAAATGTGAATAATTGCTTTATTCAAATAGTTTTGTTTTCATAGTTTTATTATCAACTTTATTTTATTAAGTCAGAAGCAGATACCTATGATGTGACCTGGAAAATACATGTGTTCTTTGAAACATAAGCTGCAAAGTCCAGGAAAAAAAAAACAAAAACAGAAACAAAAACAAACAAACAAAAAACCAGCTCACTAAGGCTTCACAGGTGAGTTTCAATTTATGGCATGTTTATTGGTTTTGTGCATCCTGTGTTCTTGACTTAACTGCAGCTACAGTTACCTGTGTCACACACAGCAATGGGTTGGGTCTGGGCATTAAAAATGGGCTGCACTCAACAAAGAGCAAATTAATGTTCCCTCAGGGGAGCAAGGTTTCTTCCTATGTGAACTACTCCCTAAGCAACATTCAAAGGAGATAAGATAATGACATACTAAATAATGAAATACTAAATAAAAGACCCATATTAACTCCTCAGGTCTCCTTTAACTCTGTGACTACATAACCATTCCCCACTGTGACTGAGCTGGAAACCCTGTTATGTGGGAATGGATTTCAAGCATTACAGATAACCGGATTAAAAAAAAACCCTTATGCTGTGTCTCTTTTCTCAGGTCTCCTTATAGCACGTATAGGCAGGTGTACAGCAGAGAAAAATGTACCAGAAGTGGTCTGCCCTTGAAGAGGTCTGGAGGTCCCAAACTCTAATGACTATTTAGCTAGCAAAAGTCATCTCTTTTTCTGCTTCAGTTAATGCAACACTATTGCAGAATTACAAGCTATTTATATTTACTGTATGATCTACGTCTCAGAAATTAGAGTATATGGACTGCATATGCAGTCAGTGGAAGCTGTTAACATTATCTTGCTCCAAGTATCTGCATCAAAAGCAAAATTGGAAATATAAGGTTTATTATGTGTGCCACAACATAAGAAAAAGTCAGGTTTTCAGTGTATAGTGACACTTTTATTTTTTAAAGAGGTGTTTGTTGTTATGACTATTACTATTGTGAGGATTAAAGTTTGTTTCTAAACAAATTCTTCAAAAAAACTCAAGTCACAGAATATCCTCAAATACTTTTACAAAAATATAAAGACTATTTGGACATTTCATTGCAATATTTAAATATTAGGCACTATAGTAGTTAAACAAAATATAGTATGGTTCAGCTGCTTTTCTCTTTAGGCATGGTGAATTCAAATACAGGTTAACGTGTTCTTTCAGGATATTATAGAGAGTATCACTTAGCTATCCTTGTACTCACAACAGTCATGTTAACTTCTGCTTAATAGTCTAAACCAAATGTATATTTGTTTTAGAAACTCTTGTAAAACCCATGTTTTTCCTTCCGATCTGTTGTTTTGAAACAAAGAAAAAAGAGCAAACAAATATATCAAATACAGTACTCTGTAGTTATGCAACATTATATGTTCTATATTCTGTAAAATAAATTGAATTATTATACACAAACAAAGCCACCTTCATCCTCTTGCAATTGGTGACTTCAGTAAAAATTGCATCAAGGTTCTAATTCTCTTCTGTAAAGAAACGGGAAAATAAAGAAATCCATCTTGCAAAAAGCCACATAAATGTGCAATGCAATGCAAACCTTAGCAGTCAAATGAGAGTTTCCAAGGAAGAAGCTAAGAATATTAATTTCTACAAGCATGTCTCACCTTCGAACATTTCACTCTCACATATTTCTGTTGCAAATTTATGTCAACATTATGAAACAATTCTAAAACTTAAACTGCTGTACATACCTTCACTCAAGCAGCCACATGTCCTACTTCATAACTTCACTATTGTATTTGTGAACTATACAGTGTCTGCTTAGTTTTCACTCTGACCTCTTTCTAGTCTTAGTCTGGATGTCTTGCCATAAAAAAGTCCCTAATAAAATAAATCCCACTATAGAACTATCTAAAACATTCAACCCTGACAGTAGAAGTAAAGAAATAACTATTGAAAGGATGGTTTTATATCTTCAGATACAGCTAAGGGCAAAGTGTGTTCATCAGAATTTTGTAAAAAAATCTGGATAGCTGCCTGTTGCTTGGATGAAGAACATTCACTGCATACTTGTTCCTCCCACAGACCCCAAGGATGCAAATGGGTACTATGTATATTGTATCGCTTTCAGCTGTATTCTAACCCTGAGATATGAATAAAATGCTGTTCATTACACAAAGGGAAGAAGAAGGGGGGGGAAGGAGCTGGATTAGTTACACAACTCAGAAAGCTGATTTTTTTTCATTTTCCAGGAAAATAAGTGTCAGGGTAGGAGAAAAGGAAGAACCCAGGGAACTCTGTTTCCATAATGGAAGCTTGTATTTAAAGGAGGCAATAAAACCTTAACACTGCATTCAAATCCTTGCAAAATTTCATTATATTTGACTTAATTTCTAATCCTCTATTGAGACTGACACTAGGTAAGGAATAGACTCACATAATATTCTGATGCAAATATAATACTCTGATTCTTCTCCATTAGAGGCTAGGATGCAAAGTACCCTGAAAATTACGGCAGTCTTCCTTTGGGTGTGAGTAGAATGGAACATGGACCAAGATTACAGGCATCCAATACAGATTTATTTTTACTTCCAAAAAAATTACCCAGTGATATTTCCATCAAAGAGGGATAAGATAGAATTATAACATCTGGAAAGTTTTCACTTCTGACCTTTAATCCCAACTCAACCACAAGTCAGAGCCCTATCTCCATAGGTCTTCCTTACCAAGTTTAGATACTACATTTCCATCTTTGACCTTTGTGGATGGCTTCTTTTGGTGAGTTTGTTGGTTTGTTTTTTTTTGTTGTATGTTATGTGGAGTAAACTTACTAACTTTTAATCACTTACCTTTTTCATTTCCGTTTGCATATTGTGGAGGCTTGTTTTTGTCAATGCTGTTAAAGCTCTGGCTTCTCCGATTTAAATTAGAAGCTCCCTGGACTTTGGTACTGCTGCCTGCAGCTGGCACCCTTGAGGGTCCTGGAAGCCTGGAATGGTATAGTTAGAAATCAGTTCATTTTATGCAATACAACTTACAGAGGAACCAATATGCAAATATCAGAATTTAAAACTAACAACTGAAAACAATGATTTCAGGTAAGCAACAATGAACAGGAGGATTCAAATTAGTTAGACTGCACAAGTGGGGGAAAAAAAGCTTATCCTTATGCACACAAAAGGAAAAATGATGACTAGAGTCACAAGACACATTAGAAGATGCTTTGCATTTACCATTAATATTGCTAAAACAGATTCACCCTAACGAACCACTAAAGTGCAATAACTTAAATTTCAGTCTGTCACTTTTGAAGAGGAATTGTTTCAGAAGTTTATTAGAAGGCACAACAATACATAGTTGACAAATATTTTCATCTCTTACTCTAGTAACTGTCTCACAACTGTGTTTAGCAGAAAAGCTGGCCTTTTAGTTCTTTGGTTATTTTTCAGAGGGCTATTGACTAAAGCACTTCTACCTTATAATTTGAAACGAAAAGTATTGAAAATACATATTTTAGCTAGATGCTACAGATACAGGTACACTTTTTAGAGAGAAGTGTGTAATGTAGCCTATACAGTTCATTTGTTAGTTTGTGCTGCCACCATCTGAACCTTATTGTGTGTCTATGCTAAGGTAAAAATCGCAGACTGTTGTCTCTGGCTTCTGTAAACCTGCATCTTTTTTCTGTCTGAATCTCTTCTCTGATGTCAGATGCTTTCATACATGCTTCCTTCAAAATTTTCTGCAGCATCTTTGTGGGCATCCCCACTCCTTTCCAGTTTTGTTATCTGATAGACAAAATGAAATGCTTGAATCAGCAAGAGTCTTTTGTCATAGGAGAACATCGCTCTTCTCTTTCTTACTTATTGGAATGATTTGATTATTTTAATACTGGCAACGCAAATTATACCAGAGTTAATGAATTCCGTTAGTTTCATTGTATTACAAAAGAGCAGCATCAGAATGGTAAAAAAAAAACCAAAACAACATACTACAATGAATTACAAAATGTTAGATTTCTTCCAAACTAATTTTTTTTTTTTTTTAATATAGTGTTATAACAGAAATGTTCACATAATTTCATTTTCATTAGCGGACATATGTAAGCAGCTCCATGCTCTTTTCTTTACCAATTTATGCCTCAGAAAGCTAATCTATCAGTTACTTTTATGGTCAACTCTGGCCTCCAGCCTGCCCTGCTAGTCTCCATGCTGAGCCCAGAGCAGACTGTCTCTGCTCTGCAGAAAAAAAAACCAAAACAACATACTACAAAGAATTACAAAAAGTTTGATTTTTTTCCAAATAATTTTTTTTTTTTTTTTAATATAGTGTTATAACAGAAATGTTCACATAATTTCATTTTCATTAGCGGACATATGTAAGCAGCTCCATGCTCTTTTCTTTACCAATTTATGCCTCAGAAAGCTAATCTATCAGTTACTTTTATGGTCAACTCTGGCCTCCAGCCTGCCCTGCTAGTCTCCATGCTGAGCCCAGAGCAGACTGTCTCTGCTCTGCAGCTGTACACACGCTAACCTTTACCGTGACCCATGAATTCGAGTGATCTTCTGTTCCCTGAAGAATGCACTAAAACAAACTTAAAAATCCATTTGCTCCTTCTCATTACCCTAATTTGACAGCCAGCTAGAGCCATGAGATCATTTGTCAAAGGTAATGAAAAAAACAATGAGAAGGTATGTGCAACACTGGAAACTCATCTGTTCTGTTCAAATAGTTCTGCATATATTCTGCATGCCAGAATTTGAGAACTTGCCATGGTAAGCACTTTATACATGAGGTCATTTGCTCTATGCACTTTCCAGTTTACCTCATTTGCTGTCTTTTTTTAATTGAATGCAGGTTTAAAATTGCTCTTGCAGAATCATGTTAAGCAGCTAAGGAAATGCAAAGAGGAGAATAACAAGGGACAAGTCACATACCTCTGAACAGCCTTCGGAAACACTGCCACAGATTTAGAGTATTAGACAATAAGACTGTTAACCTCGACATGTTGAATGTGGACAAGACAGGAGCATCAGCAATAAGGAAAACTGAAGACCTATAAATGCAGGTGCAAAGCAACTGGACCGTGATATAGCTCATCCCAAGCTATCACCAGCAACTGAAATTGTTAGTGCACTATATTGCAGAATGCATTCTTTATTGTAGATTATGCAATTTAGGGTTCATTGTTCTCACCAATGAACACTACAGCAAAGGTATAATTAATGAACACATTAATTATCCCCCATAAAAGAAAAGAAAAAAAAAGCTAGAACCAAGATTAAGCTTTAGACCTCTATTTCTGTCCTCTGCAATCTGGTTTGTAGATTTTAGTGCTCATGGAAGTAATAAACTGAAAATATTGAGGAAATCTGAAACACGCCAGCTCCTACACACAGCTCTGTCAAATCCACTGCCAAAACAAAGCATCTAATTAGTAGGGACTGTGTGCAGGCTACTCTTGATGGAGCAGAAATCCTGAAAGTGGTTCTTTTTTTCCCCTCTATTTTCCTTCAGCATGAACTTGGCTCTGTAAACTCAACTTCTCAGGTGGATTTGTTACATGCAAAACATCCAGTGGGAATTGGGATGGACTCTCAAACTTTTTTTCACTCATATCTAAAGTAAGGATTTGAGCCAGAGAGTAGAGAGCACTAAAATCACCAACTAATCCTTCATATCCAATATTTCACATGCAAGATACAAAGATGCAGGATACATAACAACCAGAAAGATTACTTATATACAGTACAAATCACCTCCTTCCAGTCCATATAAGGCTTTCCCGTGGCAAAGCTTGTTATTGCAAAGCTTGCACACATAACATAAATACATATTTTTTAACATCTGCTTATGTCCAAAAGATAGAATATCAGTGGCCATATACTTGCTTGAGTATCACTAACAAGCAATAAATTAGAGATATTTAACTGACCTAGAAGTCTTTTTTTGACTGGTTGCAATTCCACTGTGATTAGACTGAGTTGCATATCTGGCTGTGAGACTGCATGAGAAGAAACAGAGAAATTGAATTAAAGAATTTCTTTGAACATGTATAGAAAGAACACACTTATCAGCAAACTATGAGTTAATGAATGCAAATTGAACATAGATAGAAAACACAAATTTACTGGCAAAAATATGGAATAATGCAAACAGGCAGAACTTTATGAGATGCAATGCACAGATCATGAAATAATGGATATTGTTATAACTCATTTGCTAGAAATAATCCTAGGAATAGACAATGTGAGTAAAGTTCCAGTGACTGAAGTCTGGCTCTATTCACACAGAGTGAACCCCAAAACTTTGTGCCCTTTTTTTTTTTTTCTTTTTTTTTTTTTCTCCCCATCCACAAAAAGTACTAATCACAAATATACAGCCACTAGTTTCTCCAGCAACCTGACTGGGTTCACAGTCTAGCAGTTAGGAATTAATTTGCTATACCACATCCAATGTGAACTCAGAAATATTCCTGCTAAAGAAAGGTGACCCTCCTGACAGTAAAGCTGCATGGAAGAAGCATCCAATAATTATTTTCATTACTGTTACAGCAGCACAGGTCATGTTTGTGATGCATGACCTAGGCAATGAACCAGAGGCTTCATCAGGAAAGCCCTGACGTGCTCAGACTCACTGTTAAATTCCTCACAAAAATACACTTTTGACTATTAAAGCATCTGAGAAGTGTTTCTGCAACAAAAGATATTCTGTGCTACAGGGCCAAGAGAAGTGCATTCATCTTGACGCCAATTAATATGTCATTACTACATAGCAAATTTTTGCTTCTGTTTCATTTGATATTTGCATAGAGGATATGTCAAAAGTATGGCCAAGGTAAGGCCTCCTTGCCAGGTAATTTCAGTTACTATGAACAGGTGCACCCTTTGGAATCCACAGAGCCTGAGGGTATAGACAGGTACCTAAGCCAGGTGCAATCACAATTGCAAATTCCTTGCATTATTAAGTAAGTCACAGAGAACTGAGGAAGCAGAAACTCTGATAGGCACGGATTGCTTTTGTCTCTCACAGCTCTGCATCTTCCAGTAACTCTTTTAAGTAGCAACAGAAATCGCAGTGCTTTAGTCCCAGCTTTATAGACTGGCAGCACTTAGAAGAAACCCCTTCTGGTATTGAGTCTACTAGAAGAGTGCTAAGCAATTTCTGCTAGTGCACTGAAGCAGATAGCCTGAGCCTAGAGCAGAGGGGAGAAGCCCACACAGGAGGATGGCTTGCCATACTGGCACAGCAGTTCTGAAGGAGGGCAACGGGAAGGCACAAACCAAGGGACAATGTGAGACTTCAATGGGATGCATAATTATTCTTAATTTACCAAATGAAACCCCAATGAAAGGTTCAGCATTGTCTCTGTGCCTGTCAATTACATGTGTCACATGTGCATATGATGAGTCTAAAAACCAGGCAATACTTCTGTCTTAAGAAGGCAAAAAGGAATAATTCAATACACAAAAGCAGCATTCAATTCTCTGCCATTTATCTTCACAGTAATTCTGACAAACTGCTTTTTGATATGACCATAACTTCTGTGGGAATTATAATAAATTATAATAGTAGAATAATATTTGCAATTTATATATTTTAATCTATCTGGTAAACAGTATATTAAATTACAGCTATCTTTCATAATAATGTCTGGACTTGTGATGCAAATGTTACATAAGATGTTGTGCTGAAGTTATTAAATTTGTGCCTAGCCCAACAGTCCACATTTTGATAAGATCCTCCCCTCATGGCTTTTTTCAGCATACTTAAAATGCAGGAATCTAGAAATGCTTATCTCCATTAACTAAACTAAGAAGTTGGTCAGAAATATGGTATGTCAAAGAAAACCTTAGTGCAGTTATGTTGTAAAAGGTAAAATGATGCATGATACAATCAACACAGACAGTGAGCTGGAAAAATAGAGTGAACAGGATGCATTGACATAGTGTACTGTAGCCTTCTACCTAAAACAATACCATTCCAAAGTAAGTGGATGATCGAATAACTTAGTATCAGTGATGTGGCCAAGTTGTTGATATGTTAGCCCACAGACAGATAGTACCCCTTTTTTTTTTTTTTTTTTTTTTTTTTTTTTTAGTATCAATAAATACATGAAGCACCTATCTGCAAGTGCTTGCTAGAATGCTTTTATTCCATGCCTATTACTTGGGACTTCATCCACTAGCAGATTTGTGAATTGTCAGCTTATAGATTGCTTTCAAACTTTCCAGATGGGCTTGAAAGGCATTGATAGATGTGTCAACGTCAGTAAAGTATCATTTCCATTGTCACTAGGTAAATTTATTTTCCAAAGTAGTGTGACAAATTAAAAGGAAAAAGAGAACATTAACAGCTCATAAACCAGGTGCATCAAGTTCCTAGTGACTTTTGGTTTTCCTTTTCAGTTAGCACTGGATATGCTGGAACCATTAAAGTTTTGCACAGATGCCTGTTTTCCAACTGCAGGCCCCACTATTACAGATGTAAACTGCAACACAGCTGAAGTCTATCCACTCTTGTAAACACATAAACAAATATTTACCTGCTGCCCTTCATCTTACCAAGTAATTGTTTGTGGGTGACATCTGGCAGTCAGGAAAATCTGTTTTGCTTAAAACAGTATTTTTTTATGTTTCTAGATCCACATGAAAGTTTACGAAACATGTGCCTCTATTAAAGTAGCACAGTAGAAGTTTAATGTATTTAGGACAGGGAGGATTTAATTGTCAGACAGTTGGAAAGAGGGATTTTCAAACCTTCTAGTTCTCAGCTGTCTGTTTCCAAGACCCTTTCCTCTGCCATAATACTCCCACTGATAGTCTTCCCTGACGTGGTCACAGCTTTGACTCCTCAGAGGAGCCAGAGCAGTTGCCTGCAAAGCTCTGCCAGGTTGCATTGGCAGGAATGGGACATATAAACTAAGGAGGAGACCAACCCTGACTGCTGAGTCAGC